AAAAATCAAATAAATAAAAAATGAAAAATAGCTACAATTGTAGGATTTCATACCCTTCTGGCGATGTAATATGCACAGCGATTGTGATACATATTAATTACAAGTCTCTGCACATGAGCTACAGCGAAAGCCAATATAGGGTAAATTCCACGAATATAATTTCTAGGTATTTCATAGTTTAAAACTTCTTAAAAAAAAAAACATTTGGGCTATAACATATTATTACGCATTACACAATACATAATATCTATAATGACTCAATTAACAATAAAATATATGGATTTTAAACCTAGTTTTACAACACGATTACGGGTGTGTCGTGTTATGTTAATTAATTATTCATTGCATTTCAAAAACATTGCGATGCGTTCGAAATACCCATCTAAATTTGATTTGCGCAACAATAAAATATTGGCATACATTTTTGACGACGATTTATTTTTTTTCTCACCGATAGTCAATTAAAAGAGATAATATATATAATAGCAATATTTCGTCAACTCGATTCGGACTCGGTACGGTTACATTTCGTTTTAAAATCTACCTCATTGAATGTACACCTATCTCAAGGTAATTGTAAATAAAAAGACACGCGTTTTGACACTGCGGAAAGTATATTTTAATACCGCGGTACTCGAATACCTCATTACACTGTACCAGTGGTACCATGCACCTGCACGGGAATACCGAGACCGTATAACCTATACACGTGTCCAATCGGGCGGAGACGTGTGCACGTTACGACTATATTATAAACATTGTAATTACGTCGTCATTGCGTCCGGTCATAATGGTATAATATATTGTGTGGAGTGCGCACGGATTGCAATGTACGATTTTCCCGTTTGACCATCGGCTGCACGATCGGGCGGGCAGATTATCGAGTTTGTACGACGAGCGTATGTACGGTGATTAAATCGATTAATTACGAACGACCGCGAGATGTACGAAATATTTACAATGCAATGTTAGACTTAAAATATTATACGTAATAATTATTAAATTACTTAATTCCGGGAGCGATACCGGTATACAGGTACGACTCGACAATCATCGTGTTCCGAGCGCTGTAATGGACACGTCATCGAAATGAATAACAACCAATGAAATAAAGCGAGATATATGCTAGGCGTAGTGGTATTGGAGACTATAATAAGTCTCAGTCCAAACATTTTCAGAGGTCCCTCAAACACATAGGCGCCTACCTATATCGGATAATGTTCCACGAAAATGTTTTTCTTCGACGAGACGACAAATAATTGGAGAAGATAGTACCTACCAATATATATGCTGTAATACTGTTTCTTAAATTTGGCTAGTCTTAATATATTACTACGAGAGAAATGATTTATGAAATTTATTATAAAATTGGAAGTATAAATAATTCAAAGGCAAACCGTTTGTATTGAAATAATCTAAATACCTATGTACACATTTTTTGTAATAAATATTAATAAAGGCACATTAATATTTATTTTGAACTATACTTACAAATACACAAATTCTTCGCTTGGCATAAAGGAGCCAACGGTTTAAGGGAAATTCACACACAGATAAATAAAGAAAACATGTGAGAACTACAGCCTCCCCCCCCCCAAAAAAAAAAATGTGTCGTTTAATTGCGCCTACGATGGTCAAAATAATTCTCGCAGGACACACAATCGAAACTCCTGCAATAGTACCTATTGTAATAAATAATAATAGGTAGTTTATCAAGCGCATTATATAATTTTTTGCGCTTAAGAATTAATTTATATAATATGTTACTTATTTTATAATATTTATTAGAATTTTAATACAATTGTACAAGATTATTTTATATTATAGTGTAAGAACACAATGTTGCGTAAACACGGTAGAGCCACTGAGAGGCTAAGATTTTCGGAAATGTGCCAATAAAATGTGGCGGCGAAAAATAAAAAAAGGCCATCAGCTCACTCACTCTGCGGCGTCTGTGACGGCGGCACGATAATAATATAATATGATAGATTCGTAACAATAATGAAAAATGTGCCGAGGTAGTTGTAACAAGAAACACGCCCTCAGATTAGTTTAATTTGATATGCACCCCGCCCCCTGGTACAAAAATCCTTTTGAACGTATTTTAATAAGTGCGCTCGACCGGAACTTATATTTTACTATATATCGAAATATCTTTGTCCGGTCTTTCTTCAAACGCTTTTTTCACAGCTCAATCTGTTTCAACATCACACTGTCATTTCGCATTCACTCCCATCTCCGTAAACTAATTTAAGTTGCAACTGCCTCGGTCGATTGCGATTAAAAAAAAAAAAGAAGCATGCAAGTTCTAGTTTTGAAAACGTATAAAATATTGTATAACTAAGTTTAAATTTAAAACTGTATACACGATGCGCGACGTTTTCTTTCCCCCTATTAATATCCGAGAATACGACGGGTTTGAGCTTGTCATCACTGGTCGACACTTTTTCGGAAAACTCGATGTTTAATGCATATTTTAGGTACCTACAACAGCGGTATCATCTCTTAAACTTATTAAAAATTCAACAAAATTTATTTATTCCAAAATATTTATTTTACCATTTAACACGTCCCCTGGTCCGTTAAATTGTATTTAACAATTTTAATTACCAAACTGCAAGTATAATAATCGTACACTTCGTTACTTTTCCCCACGCGTAACCAACCGCGTATAATAATATTCATTAAAAATGCTCTTAGTCTCTATATAGTTCAATATGGGATTTCTTTGGAATATAAGAGAAATTCCAAGACCATATCCGAATTCATCACAAAAACGTTAATTAACACCGACAATTTCCATCGCTTCTGTACAACGATAACCGTTTTGATCCGAGACAAAGTCCACTTTTCACCGCATATCTTAAATAGCATTATTTATTTTTATAAAAAGCAATTTTTATAAAAAATATAATATGGAACTAGTTTTTTTTTTTTTTTATTCAACACAACGGTACAAAAGCGTTTGAAAAAATGTTAAGAAAGTCAAAGCTATATTGCGGCAGATAAACCAATGTGATATGGATTTAGCTCAGTAAACTTACATGTCACAGAGTTCTTTATGAGACACAATATATACCTATACTGTCCGTTTACGATTATCTACAAATATTTCCATACCTACATCCATATATGTGAGTATTGCCACTTCTTATTATTAATATGAGATAGGGACATTTCAAACAATCTGTTGATCAATTTATTCATATTAATTATTATTATGTTATACAATAATAGGTTGATCGATTGATAATACAGTTGGATTTTGGTATGAGGCATTAAAGAACAAAAAATATCTAAAGAATTATGTCGTTCTAAAAAATAAAAAACTGTTTACTGCAGTTTTCATACCTATACCTATAACAATCGTTCATTATTATTTTTAAGCGATTAAATCGAAATGTTCCGGTCATAAACTGTATAGGTACGTTAAACTACTACTAAAGTCAGTACGTAGGGACACTGTACTAATTTTAACTTTAAAATCATTGTTGACTAAATCTTTGTACAAGTTTGACTTTGATAATATAATACTTTGTAGGTTACCAGACTATTATTAAGATGTACTAATTATGTCATGTTCAGATAAATTACTTCTTTCATATAGTCGATCAAATATAGTTAGGTAATACAAATTCATAATTTAAAGAAATATGAATTAAAATATACATAGATACGCGGGTACATTATTGTATTATAAGTGTTCAAAGTTTTTAAACAATTATTAGACTTGGTACCTGAATTATTGCAGTTACTTACTGTTATTGATACTGTTTCCCGGTAATAATGTTAAATATTAAACGGTAATAAATCTGAAAGACAGTACACGAAAACAATAGATTAAATAGTATATATAATATATCGAATGACTATGTATAGTCAGTATATGATAGTCAACTACAATAGTTACTCGCTTACACCAAGTTCGGGGATTATATTTCTAATAATCAAATTATTCCTGATCCGCATTTCCCTTAAGATATTAATTATATGGTATAATAATAATTGTGCAAAAGGGACGAATAAGCTCTGAGGAAATATGAACTTTTAAATGAAACGGTAGATTAAGTGGGCGCGTAACAGTGTAACATAAATAAATACAAAGTTTTTGTGTTCACGCGTAATACGATATGATTCGTTTGACCAGTGTGTTTCATATTATTATTATGGTCGGATAAAATTTCCTCGGTCGAAATTATAATTTTAAATGTAAAGACACCGGGGTATGACGAATATTATATAGAATAGAACCATTTATAAAAGTGTAAAATATTAATTTTCACGGCGAAATGTGTTGGATTAATTATTGCAATTGCACAAGTCAATTAGAATAATGTATGTTTAAAGTGTTCTACTTATATATAATATTAAACAGTGTCTACTCGACTCCTCCGTCAGATTTTAAGTCGATTAAAATGAAAAAAAAATATGATAATAATTACGACCTACGAACGTAGTACAATATTATATATTATCATAATTAAATATTTATAAACGGCTGCAGGAAAAAAACGCGACTACTGAGCAGACCCAAATACAAATTACAATAAAATTGTGATTAAATAGTATTATTATATTGTTGCGAAACGCATGAGGATCGACGAGTAAGCACCGATAAGTATATAATATAGCTGAGCAAAAGACTTGGGCTGTTTGCTTATTAAAATTCTCGTCGTACAAAAGTATGCATAATATAATATTATCATAGTCTCCAGACGCCACTAAACAGTTTGCTCAAAAACCTATGAAATAAAATTCACTGGCCGTTTCAATTAGTATAAGTATTATTTTCAAATCGCTTTACGGTCCGTCAAACACGCACACGGCCAGCAAACGTACTGTAATATCATTAAACTATCCGGCACTGTTTGCGCGGTATGCCTACCCGGCAACTCGCCATATTAATAATAATAACAATAATAATAATAATAATAATAATAATAATAATAATAATAATAATAATAATAATAATAACAATAATAATAATAATAATAATAAAGGCAACGAGACAGCAGACATCTATGCCAAAAGAGCCATAACTTCTCCCGACGCCATCTCGGTCCAAACATGTTCTCTGAGTGACTTCAAGGGTATCATACACTCCCTGACATGGCAACATCGTTGGGCTTCTTCACAAACAAAACTCAATGAAATCAAACTCTCCATTAACCCTTGGCCAACTTACCTTACAAAAATACGTCACGAAATTGTAATTAATAGACTAAGAATTGGACGCAGCTGGCTTACACACCGTCACCTCACGAGACGTGAAGATCCAGACCCATGTACAACCTGCGGGGAAGGTCTAACGGTTAAACATATCCTCCTATACTGTCGAAACTACGCAGACACAAGAACAACAGCCTTAGGTATTCCTGAGCATCTATATGAAGCACTTGGACTCGATCACGAAAGTAATATCAAAATCATAAAGTTTCTTAAAATTACTAAACTGTATAACCTCATCTGATATTTGTGTTTTATATGTTATATTCACATACTTAAACGTTTAACCTATGTAAATAACAATCATTGTATTTAATATGTATAATTCCCTCTAGCACATAAGTTAATTTTTACATTGTACAACATTCCAATAACCTTAGTTGTTGCGGCTTAAATTAATAAAAAAAAAAAAATAATAATAATAATAATAATGTACATGTATAATACTGCTGCTGCTGGATCGTCCGAATTGTATGACACGAAATTAGTTGGCACTGAACCCAGCTGTGTATAGTGTGTCACAAAAGCACTGCAACTGCACCACAAGTATTTCACTGTCTTCATGTGTGTACTCGGTTTTCTTTAAATCCGATGTATGAAAGGTTCATTCTTGTGCAATTTTTGTTTTCGTCATTTTTTGAAAACTCGACCTGTTTATAATGCATATATTCTAAAAGAAACAATAGTTAGCACAAAACAAAAACTGACTAAAAACCGTCTACATCCAACTCGGTCGTAATGCGCTTGCCTGTATAGTCATCGTTTTACTTAGTTTTTTATTTTTTTTTTGACTTTGTTAAGATCCCCGCCCGTCTTATTTCTGTTGAAAAAAAACCATTTAATCATACACATATTTTGCTACCGAGATACATTGTAATATAATGCGATATATTTTACGAATTTATGCGGAACATATTGACGTTGCATAGGTCGTATTAATATACAATGTGTCCCGGGGCGAAGTGACCGGCCGCCGTCATATGAAAGTATACCTATTATTCTGTAGAATAATACACAACCGAAATAACCCATACTAAATTTTGAATTATTTTGAGTAATACGAGATTTAATTTTAAAAATTCCAACTTTTGATAAAAAAAAATGTACTTTTTTCAATTTAATAATAATGATTTGCATACGTTTGGTTTAATTGCGTATGTTGGTTGAAAGGCCAATTAAATAGCTTTAAAACAAAAATAAAAATATGTTAAGATGTTGAAAAATTTAAGAGTAACATAAAAAAATCAGTGGTCGTTTTGGTTTGGTTTAAAAAAACTTAAATTGCCCATAACTCAAAAACAAAAGAGTTAGACTCCCACTTTAAAGGTTATTTCTCCGCCATTTTAGGTATATTTTCATATGACCGCGGCCTGTCACTTCGCTCCGGGACACATTGTATAATACATTTAAGTACCAATTGTAATTCATTTCAAGCCATTCGGGTTTAATTAAAACAATTTTCTATAACTTATCCGAAAGACTCTAGGGAAGTAAGCTCAGCATCCTCAACTAATTTACAACCACCAAAAAAAAAAATCCTCATTGTTAGCATCAAAGCTTGTTGTATCGAAACGATTTGTGTAGTACCTGTATAATTTTTAAATTGTTTATAAATTGGCTTCTATTTTTGTTTACTTTTGGAGTCAAAGATTAATTTATTTTTGGCCTGAACAATTATTTTACACCAAAAATGAAAAACAATTTATTTTGTAAAATGTTTAATAGAAATCAAAAACACTGTCATTTGTCCAACCTATATATTTAAGTTTAAGCTTGAATGAAAAGTGACGTTTCCCGGGAGACTTTTACTCCCGCAAAATCATTATCATTAATTTAAAACGATAAAATTGAGTCGCGGTCGGGTGGGAGGGGGGCACAATTATTTCGATGTCTATTTATAGTATAGTAGTGGTATAATAATATGTTTAAAATTAAAATATGAAATGCAGCTGCACAGGTATCGCAGCGTAACACGTCTTGCAAGTGCTCTTAAAAATCTTCATTCGAAAATCACACAAAAAAAAAAGAAAAAATAGGTTTTCCATTTAATACTATTTTTTTTTTCACATAATAAAACAGTGTTGGCCAACATAACAAAACGAGATCATTCTCAAAGCCTGTGCGGCGGAAAACCCTGCAGAAACACCCACACTACATAATATCATTACGCGGGCGGCGAGCGCGTGTAACATATACATATATACATATATATATATATATTATATATAGTACGGTTGGATGAGAGATATCGTTAAAAACGGAAACCGACCCTTTCTCGGCGGAGGTCTACACAACACACGCCCGCTGCACCCACACACCCGTCGCAGGCGATATGCATATGCGTATACGTGATGGGATATATCGTGCGGAGGGAGTCAAATATACTGCAGAGAGAGAGAGAGAGAGTGTGTGTGTATATAATATATAAAATATATGATATATATTTAGCACGCGCTAAGAAAGACGGGGACGGGGCGAGAGTGGGTGGGAAAGAGGAGTGAGTGAGCGAGCTAGAGGCACCGAGAAATTCGCATCGGCACGGACATTATAATAATATCACGACGTTTACATGCGGTGGCGGCGGCGTTTTTGCGAATATCATATTATTATTATTATTATTATTGTGCGCGTGTGCACGTGTGTAAACCGATACGGGGCGCCATCGGGTCGTGGCGCACCGGTGCAAAGGGACCGTCGTCGAGACGACTTTGACGACACCGTCCCCCGCCCGCCCGCCGTTTGTGCAACTCCTCTTCCTGTGCGGCTACGCATAACATACACACCGCCGCCGCCGCCCGTAAACGGATCGTAAATCACAGGTAACGCCCGGAACGGCGGCGGGCAAGCAGACACCGCACCACCGGCGTCGGCGGCGGTCCCTTTTTCGCTAAAAACCCGATCGACGGTCGAAGGACGGACGGACTGGTGGACGGACGGACGGACGGACGGACGGATATCGTTATGGTCGCGACTGCAAGTCATATTTGCCGGCTTCGTTTTCGTCGCCCGACCGGGATGCGGCGCTTTTGGCGCGGTCGCCTAACCCGTTTGCAGAACGGGTAGGCCGTCGCCCAGTGATATATTGGATTGTATAGGTATGGGTCGTCGGTCTTTCTCGGGAGAAAAGGATTAAAAAATAAATACCGGTACGCCGAGACGTCCGCTGGATATTGGTGATTTTTTTAAATATTTTTCGTCCCGTTTGCAGATGGTTGTGTAAGTATATATGTAGAGGATTTGTACGTTTCGAAACTTGTGTAGGTTTTCATTTAACAAAATGACGTATTTCATTGCTTTAAATGTGGTTAAAGTAATTAAAACTCAAAAAATATACACGATACTTTGGCTTCATTTTTTATCGCCATTTGAAGTTGAAAATCGCACGAAATCGGATATTCAAACGGAAAATACCATCACGACGATCACGCGTATTTTTATTATTTGCTTTTTTTAATGACATTTTCAAAATAAATTTAGCCTTATTTTAAACTACATTTATACCACGTTTCGATTTACACCGTTCTTCAACTGCACTTTGAGTACCTATTGAAATGTAAGTAGATGACAATGATATAATTACTTATTATAGGTATAGGTACCTAATATGATAAAATAAAATAAAATGTTATCATTAATTTTTACATATATATTAATTTTTGCAAAAATGAGTGATACGCCTACCGTATTACTAATTGTCTAATAAAAAAAAATAATTGAATAACTATAAAAATAGCGTCTGTCTCCGCTCAGAATCGTTATACACAATATGATTTTTAATTTAATTGAAACTATTATCCCATCTATAGCAGTGAAACGAGGTAGGTACATTTGAAACCTACTATACAGCAGCAGAGAGACTTCCCCCGATTTTTTTAAAATTGATTTGATTATCTATTGATATATTTTATTATTTATTGGTTTTTTTCAGAAGAAAAGTTAATGCACAATAAGATTTTACATAATTTAGTTAGCATAATTTATAATTTAATATGAACGTGGAATATAATCATTTAAATACCTACTTTTTAGAAATTTAATGTAATTAAAACATTTTTTCCAGAGTTTGAAATTAACTTACGCGAATGTTTTTTACTCCACATATTTTGTATATCTTAATGATAATATAAGTGATTAAAAAAATAGTAATTCGTGCATATTTTGTACGGATTTTTAGTGCATATAATTATGTCAGGCCCAAGTTATATTGATTGGCCGATGATGACCTTGAAAGCCTATATTTTTTCTAAAATCTCATAAAGTATATTATGTGTAATGCGTGTATCGTATACAAGTCATATTTCAACGTTTTAGACGAAGAGCACGAATAACGTCGTTGTCGTCAAAAAAAGTATGTCGAATTAACTTGCTTGCAGGGACTAGTTGTTGTGTTCTTGTCCTGCAAATATAGTATTTTGATACGCTTACAATCCAGAATAAACTCAATATCTTTTAATATTGTGGTACCCCCTCTAAGCCCCAAAAATATTAACACTAGTAAGTGTAGTAGAAATATAATATAGCTCACCACTTTAATAGTTAAGCTATACTGCAGTTGCCATAGGCGTTATAGAACGGGGGCAGCTGCAGGGGCCACCGAAGCCCTTATTTCTAAAATATTGTGCATTGTTAAAACGAAATCACAAAAACAACACATTATAATAATTATAATTAGTTTTCTGAAAGTTATGACATACCTCCTCCATATCTGGAGCTGCCCCCGTCTTAGAATCTAGTTTTGAGTTGGTTGAAATTCAATCAGGTTTTGCCATTGCCAGAGTGGCCAGACCCATATCGATAGGTGTGCACTCCTATATGATTCCTATAGTTGTTTCACTCATATTATACATTTTTAAAACGAATAAATTCCGTCACTTAGAATCATTATAATTAACAATAATTTATATTTTATCACGCAAATAAACATCATCATCACGTCTTTAACTTGATCATTTTAAAAGTTATTACAAACAGTGTTGTTTCAAAGGGCAACATATTATCGAAACTTTAAATTATTAGTCAGGTACTACACTATAGATTACCATTGATTTATATAATAATAACAGATCCAAATACTATTAATGGTATTAGGTTATACTTTAGTAGGTATAAGGTCGGGTCAAGACATCGAGATAATCATGTACATTTTTTAAGTAAAATTACACACGAACTATGTAATAAATATAAATATCTGTAAGCTCCGTGGTTACTATTAATTCTGACGAAAACCGTTTTTCGAAATGCTTA